AGACTTGGTCTCTTAGGATCATCCACAGGTACCTATACTGTAGATAGGTCTTAGTCATCAGGTCTACTCCACTTCCTTGTTGCCTGCTTAGACTCTTGGCACTCTTAGGTGAGCAGACTTAGTCAGCCTGTGTTGCCCTAACATCAGGCTCGTTTTTGATCTTGAAGGTCACATGCCGCCCAGGCTTGCCATGGTTGCCATCCTCCAAATGGAGGTCAGCAAAAGGGAAGGAAGGGGGGGAAGGGGGTTTCTTGAAGAGACATGTCACTGAGCAGAGGGGGGAGTTGGTGGGAGGGGAGGTGGTGGTGGGAGAGGGGAGAGCAGAGGAGGGAGAGGAGGAGTGGGAGCAGGAGACAACGATGAGGACAGTGGTGGTGGTGGTGGGAGTAGAGGGGACTTAGACACTTTGGCCCTTGACACATCATTGTCAGTCCCTTAGCACAGGCTGATTTTCAGTGCTTCCGGGGCGGACTCAAAAACACTGAAAAAGCTCCCATTTTGAAAGCCGCCCCTGAAGCACTGAAAATCTATTTTTCAGCGCTTCAGTGGCTTATCACTGGACCCTAATCCGCGTCCAGTGATCACCGGTACCCTAGGCCTCTGATTACAGGTTTATGACAGGAACGACAACAATGAATAGTGCTTCAGGCTCAGCCTGGCTATGTATAGTAAACAGCCTGCGAGTGGTATGGTCGTATGTCGAGGATATTTTTTTCCTTGAAGAAGTCGTGTGAAGAAATTATGCCACCCCCACTAGCGGCGGTCGATACTGGTCCAGGAATCAGGGGGTGACAGCTCCATGTCCGAAGAACGCCTTTTTGTACTGATTTCCTTCCCGTCGTTGTGATCGCGCATCGCTTTTCGTAGGTTCAAGAAGAGCCTAGGCGAATATAGGTGTGGTCAGCTTTGCACAGAGCAGACGGAGCGCAATACAATCATACCGGGAGCACATAACTGATGAAAGGCAAACGGCGGGCCTGTTATTGAAGAAGTCATTTTTAGATGCGTCCAGCACAGCGACAGAAACGAAACATACGCTGCAAACCACTCTTTCACGTTTTGCTGCCCACGTCGTTATTCACTCGGACACAAGGATCATTACGGCTAAACGTACCGTTCCAAGGAGTAATGTCAAAAGATTGATAAGCTAACTCATGTTAAACGGGAGGTACTCATATGTGAGCAGAACTTACTAATAGTACTAAATTCGCCAGTCAGTAAGGATCAAGCAAATGCAAAGAAGGAAAAGGGAACGTACCAAATACGACTTCGTACATAACCTCATGTCAGTCCAAACACATATATATGGCATCTGACTACATACCTGCGTAGTAAAACAGGCCGCTGGAAAAGTGAATTCAGCCATAAGTGCTAGATTCGGTGGAAATACATACTCTCTGAGCAAAAGCACTGCGAGTGGCGCATCCCCTTTTTCTAGTACGGCGCTTCGGAAGGTTCTTGCAGCCGTAAACAGGAAAAGGGTTGTCTCCATTACCACGGGAGGTATCCAAGAGCTCCAGTAAAAGCTTTATGCAGATGAACAAGAAAGCATTGCTGATTTTACGCAGTCCATACGTACTTGAAGTTCCCTGTCAATGCAAGTAAGTATATGCTTCAAAAGAGATGGTTAGATTTACCCATCACAACTCCGCAACGAATATTTGGTAACGGGGGAGAGACTTTGTGCAGCAAAGCTTAGCAAAGTGCGACGAAGGAGATGCCGCATGGAGACTCACGTGTCGCGTTTTGAAGAGTGAATCCCACAATCAACAAAGGCGCCAGAGTGCAGATGAAGTACAGCACGAGAAGAAAGGAGGTGACCATCCGGTTATTATACATCGTGATGATCCGCATCAAAAGAATCCCTAAGCTTGTGAGTGACACATTCACCAAAGCCCACTATCAGTATACCTTCAATTATGAAGAGCTGACAAGGAGCAATCCATATCTCGGAAAGAGCCAACCGCCAACAGTTCCCTTGATCAAGATTCTTCCAAAATGAAGGTATGAAGTTGACCCATGTTTGCAATATGATACCGATTCGATTGCACAGAAAAAGGAGAGTCGCCGAAGTCCACCGCCGAGACCAGACTAGATTGATGTCATCGCCTAGCAGGATGATAGCATCGAACGAGGCCACAACTACGGCTGCAACGCCGATGTAGACGCCTTGAACTGGAGGACGCTCAGCAATGAACACCTGCTGTGATCCATATACCTACTCTGTTGTTCGTATGCCGCCGCGTCCATCCTAGGTGGTCAAAGTCACTGGTACGCAGGCAGGTCAAAGGGCATATTCTTAGAGAATTGCGAGCGACCCGGAAGTCTTTCAAGCAGCATGGCAGTCATATATAAACACCAGTGAAGAATCTTCCGCAGGGGGTTGTACACGAGAAGCCCTGCAGGGTGCACTCTGAAAACAAAGTCATCAATTTTCACGCGCTGTCTAGCATGCTTACCCCGAGTTTCGCGAAGTGATTTATTAATGATTTATTACCAAGGGCACAGCCTTTGTTTTCAGACCAAAGTGGGGTAACAATGTATATGTCAATCTCGTCATCTTGGTCACGTTCGACAAGCAATTCCAAAACAGGCAGCTTCTTGGACGAGATCATGAAAATATAAATTAGCTGACCGGGCCGCACCAAGTTCGGAGGAATTGCTTCCGCACAAACTACATCCGTGTTGCCAACATCTTCTGTCTTTCTTTCCAACCACGTAGTCTCTATGCTGGGCATAACCAGAACTTTCGGGCTTTGGCTCAATAATTTGCTGGGACGGCTCTTATTCCCTCTCCGTACCTGTCTTTCTCGTCCAATTATTCCGCCAGTGGCATGCTGCAATCTCATCGACGTTCTCGGTCCTCCTTTGCCCGACGGTCCTAAAGGGTCCACGCATGTGCTTGTTACACAAACATTCTCCAATGCGTGCGGCCCCTCCAATACTCAAGAGATAATATGCCGAGGAAGCCGCCGACTCTACATGCGCGGAAAACATTATCGGGTCGCATACGAACATGGATTGGATCCCAACTCCATTGAGGGCATTCTTTGCGGCAATAACCCAGATCACCGCACGGAGGTGCTTAAACGAGTATTTGCTGGCTGTTTTGGGAAAAGATGGTGGGCGGAGGGTGAAGGCATCATATCGGGCGCAACGTACACCATATCGATCCAAGACGAACGATGCATAATCACCACATCCAGCCCTACAACCCCGGGTGTGGCCATCCAGCCCTCGTTGTGGTGGCTACGCCGCGTGTCCATCGACGAGCTCGTCCGGGCAGAACTCATAACGCCGCAAGTTGACAAAGTCTATTATAACGATGGCCTCTACGTCTACAAGTCGTATCCTCTCTATCTTGAATCCGACATGGACCTGCTCAAAGCGGTCAGGATCTCGGTACGACTCCAACACTCGCCCTACATCATCAATGTCCACGCCCTTGTCGTCCACCAGAAGAAATGTGTTGGATTTCTCATGCCCTTCGCCGCGATGGGCAGCCTTCTCCAGGCACGCCGCAATCGCGTATTTAGCAGCTGGATGCGCCGCCGTCAGTTTGCACATGACATTGTACGCGGCGTGCAAGCTCTCCATTCCATCAACGAGTTCCACGGTGATTTGAACCCCCGAAATGTTGTCCTGCAATTCGTGCCTGAACTTGAAGATCGGCCCAGAGCACAGTTGATCGACTTGGAAGCGAATGGTGGCCGGACGCCACCCTTCATGGATCCACGCTTGGTGAACGAATCCGAGCCCAGTGCACAACAAGACGTGCACTCTACCGGAAAAATCCTGCTATGGCTAGCTCTCGACCAGTTGATAGACGAGGACCAGTGGCGCAGATACGATTTGCCGATGGAGCTTCCCGAATATATCGACCCTTGGTTCCGCAATGCCATCGAGCTCTGCTTGGATGGGGGCTGTACCATCTCTGAGCTGGCACGTATCTTCGAGCAAAATATGTAGCTATCCGTAAAATGGTGAATGCATTCTGCCGCTTGATCAATCCATCTGCCCCTTGATCAATTCATGTGCGTATCCGCACTTGCTTCATTTGCCAGCGCAATTACGGTCCCGATGAAAAAGGGGCGCCGCAAGCATTTAATAATGACAGTGATAGGCGTAGCTGGTCATCCCCCTGTCCCATATCTCCAGGATCCCCCGTTCTTGGTTTTCTGCGTTGCGTACTCTCTGTTTCCGCTCATTGAAGCTGTTCTTATTATTCAAATGTAGACGTTGACAATGTGCTACGTCATCAACAAGAGATACGGCCTGTGTGGTCGTATGATAAGCAGCATCCGAGCCCAGGCTGCCGAGTGTAACAACCTACAAAAGGACGTTAGCGGGAGAAAGACCGTGTTCTGCAACAACAACATCGGCACGACAGCGACGGAAACGAAAACGTACTGCAACGACTGCGTAAATGTGCCCACCGACCTTCGCAAAAACGGTCTCCCCAACGACGAATCCTGCACTCAGAACGCGCAGAAATGGCAGGAGCGACTGACGGAGCAAGCGGCGAGCCGGAAGAGTGGAAAGAAATGAACCTTCCTCGGGGGGAATAGGTGATATTGTATATCAAAGCACAATCCTTTCCTTCGTCGAGCCCTCCAACGTTTGTTAAATGTTGTCTGAGTTTACATATCAAACCATGATCGGTGCCTCGTTGACCAGATGACATGCAGCAGAAACAACCTATGATGTCGTGCGGGTGTTGCATTGCAATGCGGCGCATGAGGAAAGAATACAGGTACGTCTCGTGCTAAAGGTATTGGAGACGTGGGGGTTGCAGTGTGGATATGTCAATAACGCTACAATGTCACAAGGCGTGCCACATTCCTGAGCATTCGTGCTGCCAAGCACCGGCAAGACCCGAGCTCTGACGTCAAGATTGCAAGAACCATTTCCATGATCTTGAATAATCGATTAATTTAGTTTCAATATAGTTTTAATTTATATATAGATCAGCGAAAAGTATCGATTAGGTTCGGAAAGTTTTTATAGACCAGAACATGGTTATGTACACAGCGGCTAACATTGTATAAAAGTACATATGTGCATATCCCACTGACAAAACTTCTTCCCAGTACTAGTACTTCAAGAACCCGTAATACCAAAAGGAAAAAACGATTATCTTAGGAACTGGCATCGTCGATCTTCTGGGGATTCTCCGATCTTGCCTTCTTCCTCGCCAAGTACCTCTCCCTAGCACTCATCACAGCCTGATCGTCATTCCTCCTCTCAGCTCTTCTCTCATTCTCCTCTCTCTCTTTCCTCTCCTGCTCCTGCACCTTTCTCCTCTCTTCCGTCTCCAGCTGTTCATCCAGTTGTCGTGCTTGGCGCTCCCGGATCTCACGTTGACTCGCCGCTGCCCCAACAGCACGGTGAACAAGAGGTTGTTCAGAAGATTGCTTCGGTTTGGCTTTGTCGACGGTCAGGCCACCCAGCCTGCGCGTGTTCGGAGCCGAAAGGTTCAAGCCTGGTAACAATAGTTCTCGCTTATCGACGATTTCTCCTGAGTCGTTAACTTCCACATCCTGGCCACGCAGTGCCGCCTCCTTTGCGAGTTGCAGATCCGATAGTGGCTCCATCTCTGGGGGTCTTTGGATAGTAAGGTTTGGTCCTTGCGGCATGGTAGGGCCGACGGTGTTTCCTGCAGCGACAGCAGCGTCGTGTGCAGCAGATTCCCGTTCAAGCAGCTTCTTGTAGTAATGGGACATTCCGGCCGCGCCAGCCTTTGCACGGTTCGCTTCTTCTCGCTTCTTCTCCTCTTCTTCAGCTTCTCGCATCTCAGCGATTTGGTCTTTGTATGCCTGAGTGACGAATGACTCGGTTCCAGCGTACATGTCCCCTTCTGTCTCCCGTTCTCGTTGATACATTTTCTCTTCTGCGCGTAGATGGTCGAGTCGCCTTGTTTCAGCTGACTCTAAAAGCGATTTGATGTATCTTGGCTGAATAAAAATGAAGACTTAGTTATTCGATTATATATAGGATACCGGCTGATATGCACCTTTCTTTCCTGGCTCTCTTCCTCTCGCTTCGTCTCTGCTGCCTTCTTTGCATGTTGCATTTTATCGTACACTTCGTCATACATAAACACTGTGGCATCCACTCTCTTTGCCTCGTCCTGTCGCTGTTTGACCTTCTTACTCATAGCAACAGATTGTGCCATAAGCTGCTTGTTCACGCTTGTTTTCGACCCCGAGGCTCTAGCCGTGGGCGCAGCGTCGACTGCGTCTTGTTCGTCATTTCCAAATGCGACCGCTGCCGTTCGCTTGAGTGGTGGTGATGCGCCGACAGTAGCCTTGGCTTTCGAGCCTAGTGAAAATGATAGTTTGGGTGCTGACATGGTAGAGCGAGCGATAGTGACGTTGAGGTCAGTCCAAATTGCTGGTAATCCTCAGGGACCAAAACATTCACGTGGAAGGCGCACAAACGCGCAACTTGCAACTTGGCAACATGCACACCTCCTACAACGACCAAAATACTTCGACAAACTGTGCATAACCAATACCTTTGAATACAAATAACTCTTGACTGGGGCTTACTATGGTGTGTGTTTTGCTGTCTCTTCGTTACTGCTTGATGAACGCGCCGGCAGGGGATCAGTGACAAGCTCGTAGGAGGCTTCTTCCTCTTTGTGGCCTCGTTCGTCTTCGTCTACTATACAACATGGGCAATATTCTTGGTATGTGCTTAGACTTCATTTAGTATCTTTCCAATCCAATCACAACAGCCTTTCCTGCCGCCATCACATCCCTTACACGACCACTTCCCTCCGAGGGAATGGGCTGTATGGGGCCCAGCACTACTCCTTGTTCTAGGGGTGACCGCAATCGGTCTTTTCATCGGAATGGTCATGTATAGAGAAGGTCAGAAGAAGCGGAGCAAAGCAGCGATGAAGGCTGCCTGAAGGCGGTATCGTCCTCGTGTACTTATAGATCATGGTGAGTGTATGTCCGACCTAGCAACATTTTACAATTATTCTGAGAATGTCTTATAGCTAATCTATACCCTCTGCAATCCTACTTAGTCGTTGGTCTGCATTGGTTCAAAAATGGCACATATATGAAGAATGACTCAGGACGGTCGCTGGATATTGAACAATGGGCATGTAATTACAGGCCTGAACGATTTTTCTCAAGTAATGACATCTACTGGTTCGTGAACTGGGCTTTTCGCTTCTCCGCGAAAGCGCCCATTCCTGTACTGGTGTTAGTGCAAGCCTCAAACTTGGCAACGGACGTGCCTTCTTTCTGATCCTTGGTCGCGAACAAGCTCTGAAAGAGGCGACGCTCGAAATGCAGCCCCTCATGCAGACTCAGCTCATATGCTTCGACAAGTCAACTTCGATGTTGTGAACACGAGACGATCAGGACGCACCAGCATTGACCCCCTCCTTCGCAGCCATCACCGAAAGTCGGCCTTTGCTTGCTATGGTTTTTGCCATCTCCAAGGCTTCCTTCACCACCTGGCCCTCGCCCTCACCCACGACCTTGCTCACTAAACCCCACGCCTCAGCCTCCTGCGCGGTGATGTTGCGACCCGTTAGAACGATCTCCATCGCCTTGGATTTGCCGACGGCGCGTGTCAAGCGCTGTGTACCTCCGGCGCCGGGAATGATACCGAGGTTGATCTCTGGCTGACCGAACTTGGCAGTGGGCGAAGCAAGGATGATATCGCACATCATGGCTAACTCACAACCTCCCCCGAGCTGTATGACGATCAGCATATATGCACATAAGAACGAGAGATAGCTTACAGCGTAACCACTAACAGCAGCTATCACAGGCTTCTTCATTTCTGTGATCTGAGTCCAGTGAGAGAGGAAGTTCTGGCCGTAGACATCAGCAACTGCGTGATAATGAGATGAGCATGCGATGGAAAGTGGTGATTCTGCTCACATTCCTTGTCTTTCATCTCCTTTATGTCAGCACCGGCTTCGAACCCGTCAACTCATATACCCGGTAGCGTGCTTGAGACGCACCTGCAAAAGCCTTCTCGCTCCCAGTCAGTACCACCGCACCTACGTCGTTGTCCAGCTCGGCCCGGGCAAGCGCGTGGTTTAGCTCATGAAACAGCCCGTTACTCAACGCGTTGAGTGCCTTTGGCCGATTGAGCGTGATGAGGGTCACGTTCGGGTCGGGCTTGGAAGTGAGGATGTACTCATACTCCTTGTCGGTTGGGGCGTCACCCATGCTGAGCCAGCGACGTGCACCAGTGAAGACTATGGGACGGCGGAGAGAGATAGCGGCAGGCCGCAGAGCTGCTTGTCTGAGGCTGAGCATGTCGGCGACAGGATCAGAGGAGGAAGAAAGCTGGTCGGCGAGCAGAGAGAGCCAGCGACGATCAAGCCGGTGTTCAACGTTGGATCACTACCCTGAAGTTCCCAGCGTACCCGGATGTGATGATGACCCCGCTACCCTTACTAGTCCAGTAATTCACGCACAGCAACGAAAACATCTAGCGGCTATATGCTTGAATTATCCGTGACTATATGATAAACGTCTACATTCCCTCATGCGGGTCAGCCCCACCCTTCTGCTCCGGGGCACACTGAATCGCATCATCAATCCGCAACAAGCTAACCGCCGCCTCGAACGCGCTCTTCAAGCTCTTCACCTTGCTCACAGTCGGCTCCAGCACACCAGCCTTGAGGTTGTCCCGGACCTCCCCTTTCAAAAGATCGAGGCCGTAGTTCATGAGACCCTTTTTGGGATCGCCAACAGGGGCGGTCTGGGCAGCGTAGTGGTATGCACGTAACTTCGACACAAGATCGGTAGAGTCTTTGGCGGCATTTACAGCAAGCGTCTTGGGAATGATCAAAAGCGCATTGGCGAACTCTGCAATGGCAAGCTGTTCTCTTGATCCCTATGCAAGCAGTTAGTCATCATCTACACTTGACAAAGGCGGTGCGTACGAGGGTTGTTGCAAAGTTCTCGAGATAAATACTCAATGCAGTCTCCACTGCACCACCACCAGGTACCACCTGACCACTCTCCAGTGTCCGCTTGATGATAGACAATGTATCGTGTAGAGCACGCTCCATCTCATCCAACATGTAGTCGTTCGCCCCGCGCAGAATGATCGAGCTAGAGTTCACCACCTTCGTTCCCTTGACGAGGATCAGCTCATCATCGGAGATCCGCTCTTGCACCACTTCCTCAGCCGTGCCAAGATATGATGCCTCGAAAGTCTCGTTCGCATCCAAGTCGCCCATGTCGGAAATGAGAGTCGCGCCTGTCGCGCGTGCTATCCGCTTAAGATCCTCCTTCCTGCATCTCCTCGCCGCCATCGCACCAGCCTCGACGAACTCCTTCAGACAAAGATCGTCGATACCCTTCGTGGTGAGAATGACGTTTGCGCCTGTCGCCAAGATCTTCCGAACTTTCTCTAGGGTGATCTCAAACTCTCGTTTTCGGATCTCCTCAAGCTGGTCGGGGTCGTCGACAATGATGTGCACGCCAAGGTGCATACGCTGTTTCTGCAGGTTCATGTCTAGGCATGCAATTTTGGCGTTCGTTATCCTCGTTTTCATCGCTGATGAAAAGTGTCAGCGTCGAATGCAAAAAGGACAACAAAGTGGATTTACCTTGGCTGGCGACGGTGCAGTTGAGGGCATAACCCTTGATGAACATAGATTCACGCGCACTCTTCCCGTGGGCCTTGAGAATATTGACAGCTTTAACGGGGTACTTGGTCTCCCCCCTCGGATTGACCGTCTTGACAGCAAGCATAGCATCGACAGCCATAGGTGCGAAGAGGTCATCATCGCTGTAGCATTGTCAGTATAGAAATGGTGAATATTGAGCTGCACAAACCTTCCTATGATCTTGCTCGACATTGACGTCTTAGCAGCATTAATAAGAGCTTCCCGTCCAAGGGCATCGATTTTCGTGCTCATCTGATCGATCATAAACCGGCATGCCTCCCTGCAGGCAAGGCGGTATCCAGTGATGATGGTAGTGGGATGGATCTTTTGCTTGACCAGCTCATTCGCTCGCCGCAAAAGCTCAGCGGCAATAATAACCACAGAGGTCGTACCATCGCCGACTTCTTTGTCCTGCTTCTGTGCGAGATCGACAAAAATCTTGCCGGCTGGGTGCTCTACGTCCAGTAGACCGAGAATGGTAGCACCATCATTGGAGATTGTCACTTCCTAGAGGTTGGAGTTAGAGGTGAAATGTAAAGCTTACAGCAATGCTCACTCCAATGTTGTCAACTAACATCTTATCGAGCCCGAGAGGACCCAGAGAGCTCTTCACAATATTCGCGATGGCCTGCGCCGCGATGACTACGCAATACCTTTCGTTAGCTTGGTTCAGAAAATGAATACATATGCAATGATACCATTTTGGTCTCGAATGTCCTGACCGGACACACGGTCTCCTCCTAGGAATACGCCAGCCTTGGGGTCACGTTGGAACATTGTCGAGGAGTGTGGACGGCGAGGAGCAGACGACGCGCAAAAGTCAATAGGCGACGAGGAACGCGTGGACGGCGGAAGCAATTAGAAGTTCATTTATATATGCGCGTCGGAGGCTGGCACAAAGCTGTGTGCTGTGAGAGGAAAGGGATAAACAGCGTGTCGAACGACTTGCCAGCCCATAACGTCCTCTTGATACTCCCAACCGCCGGCTTCCAACCGTAACACCATCCCGTGTTATATCCACATCGAGACATCTTGACGATATCAGCCTTCTTCGTCTTGACGTCTTGCACGCTTGGCTGGTACGACTCACTCCTCGGCCTGAGTCTGTGAAAGGATATGCAGATACACTGTTAACTGGCCGACGTGTGCTGTCAAGTCCACCGAACACTATCGCTAACAATCAAACGTGTGATATAACCCCGGAATCCACATAACCGATGGGGTTGTCAAACTTGTTTGATCTGGGGCCGAACCACCCCATTCGTGCCGCCTTCTATCGCCATGGAGTGTAAGCGCTACCCGAATGCATGATCCCAGTGGAATGCTTATGTTGGTACAGGCATTGCGCTACACACCAAATTCGAGTCATCATCATATCATGCGCGCTCATGTGCGTCTTGCTGTACCCGGCGCTTGCGACACACTACTCCTCCCAACCCCTCACCCATTTCTCGACCAAAATGCTCGACTCCTTTCTTCCACCCAACACCCCTGCCACCGCATTCCGCACCGATGTGCGCCATGTGTGGGAGGGACATGATATCTACCAAGTGCGAGAAGATGCCGCCGCTCTCGCAAAGTGCGGAACGGAGAGGACCATTCGGATAGAGAGGGTCATCGTGCCGAGCACCGCCCCGGATGCCCGTGGAGCGCTCAACAAGCATACATTGCTCTCAACCCTCGATCTTCAACACAAAATATCCGCCGTGCTTGCCGAGAATGACTTCACCGACGCTGCATCTTGCATTCGTGACTCGAAGGGCAAGTGTTTGTTCCTCAGTCCGCTGGAGTTCTGGCAGAATGACGAAAACATCGTCAACGCCGACACTAAGCTCGCCAAGACGGTCAACTTCGGACCGAATACCACGCTTTCTGGCATCCCCCTGCATGCTACTACTACGTTGGCGGGACGTGCTTCTGATCCGCATTCTGGCAAGACAACTTATGCTGCCGACTTCTTGGCATTGACCTACTTCTTTCCTGAGGTTATGTGTCATGACAACTTCGGCCACAGTCTCTGGCGGCGAGGACTTGAGCATGCGACTGCCGGTTTTGCATCCATCTCCCATACAGCTTATAGGCCCCAACTTCTGGCCCTGGAACACTCGACTCCATCGTCGAACATGGCATCTTCCTCCCTCGCAATCTACGTAGCCTACTTTATCGCGACTGTTTATCTCGCGGCACCCTTGTGGCGAATGCGCAGCGTCCATTCAAGGATTGGATTGGCTTTTACCGCCTTCGTTGAGCTCCTTGCGAGTACTGTCATGAGCATCAGCGTTTGTGTCATGTGGGGATGGCGAGTAAGCATGGTACCGTGGACTGTCCTTCCAGCTGTGATTGTCATTGTGGGGACGGAGAATATGTGGCACCTGGTGCGTCGCGCTCTTTTAGCCATTGATTCCCGCAGTTCTGACGCATCTTAGTTGAGCGCCCTGAACTCCACACCTCTGACTTTGCCGGTAAAGGAACGAGTTGGCATCGCCATGAGCCAGGCAGGCACTACGAATACGATGGAACTCATTGCATATAATTCCCTTCTTGGCACAATTGCTTGCTTCACCGTAGGCGCCGTCCGCCAATTTTGCGTTTTTGGAATGGTGGTTTTGATCGTCCATTGGTTTATGATTCACACTTTCTGGATCACGGTGCTTTCCATTGATGCGCAGCGTCTTGAGGTGAGCCCAGAAAGAGCTAAACAAAGTTCACTCGCTCATACATAGGCATAGTTGGTAGAATTACTCCGACAAGGACCAGAGCGCCTGTATGGCGCGTCTAACATGGGCAATGGAAACCACATTGGTAACAACACCAAGACGGATCAGCAGTCGAACTTGTACAAGCTCTGCAGTCCCCTCTTACGATTCATGCGCCGGCATTATGCCATCAACAGCACGCTTTTAATGGTACGGCCTCCCCTTTAATCTGATGTTTATGCTGATCAATTGCATAGTTTGTGTGCGTTATGGTTGGCTTATACTTCAAGTATCCCTTTGCTAGCAAACAGAGTCAAGTTCGTTCGGCCATTACTCATGGCATCATATCTTCCGCTCCTCCCGAGCCCTCTTTGCCAGTGCTGCGTGAAGGCATATTTATGGAGGCCCCATCGATTGATCCTGCGGAACACTTCTGGGACTTGATTAATCCCACGAAACAGGCACTTGTCCATCTTCGCATTGAAACCCCAACGATTGTACAGCTCAGGCCCGTTTCTCCCGATTCCGATCTGTATCCTGATCCTGGTCCTCTATCTCGCTTCTTCTACAATGTGTTTCGACCCGGATTATGGATGATCAAGATCATGGTATTACCTATCGGTGCTACTATGGGTCTCTTATGGGGATTCCTCGCCTATCTACTGAAGGATGCCGATGTTTTGGAGGCCCAGCGAAACAGAACTCCCGTCGGTCCCCGGCAAGCAAGTAGGATCGGGAAAGAGTCCATCGGAGACCACGTTGTTCTATCCGTCCTGCCAAGAAATTTGGGCTCGGATGTCGATTTGGTCGCATCAGATCTAGAGGGAAAGGTGCTGTTATCTCTCAGCATCGACAACGAACTGGTTTGCTGGTTCTTGGACGATGATCGCAAATGTCGCGTCTCCTACGATCTCCTCGACTATCTCCCGAACCAGATACGCTCCATCCCCACTGTGATATCCATTGCCGTTGGCTCAGGGGGAGAAGTATGCGCGGCAGGAACGGACACGGGGCTTATCCTTGTTTGGAACCTTGTGAGCCTGAAGCCAGAACCAATGCCGATATTGTCAAGTTCATCGGCAGTATCGTCTTTAGCATTTATTGGATCATTTTGGGCGAACACTACTGCGGGAAGGGGTTCTATGAGTTCGCTGGATATGGGCGCGGAGCGACGTATTCTCGTTGCCGGATGTGAGGATGGGTCAAGCACGCGGTGGGATGTTGGGGACGGAAGCCAGCTAGGCGTTATTGTACGGGCCTCCGATGGACATGGTCACACTCGCATTGTTGCAGAAGATCACGGGTCATATGTGCTGCATGCAGTCGTGTTCCGACTGGATGGTTCACTTCAACTTAATCGATGTAACCCACTTTCGAGCGACTGGCAAGAGAGTTGCGTCATTGTCCCTCCTACCAGTGAGGCAACATTACACGTTGCACTGCATACATTACGACTCGGTGATAACTATCGTACCGTTGCTGCGACATGCTCCGCAGTCGGAGACATCTCAGTCTGGGACGCCGACGATGGCTCACTGCTACACTCAAGCCCAAGTACCGGCACTGTCCACAAGCTCACTATCTCGTCCCTCTCTCAGCGACGATGTCAACAATGTGGTGAAACACCTATGCCAGGTTTTGTCGTCTGCGCAGGTGTCGAGGATACCGTTCGAATTTTGCGTGGTACCCTTCCAGCTGGAGGAAGGCGTTGCAGCTGCTTGCATGACTATTCAATCACCGTCCCAAGTCTTACAGGTAGTGGCGGTGGCAGTAATGACTCACAGAAGGAAAGTTTGGATGGATCCCTCCCGCCACCGTCACCTCCAAAAAGGCAATTATCTCATATGAGCCTGCCGCCGCCACAGGAACGCCCGAAGAAAGCTGCGAATGGATCATCGCGGGTTGTCGTAGAAGAGCGCGGTTCATTTGACAGCGTCCCACCGTCTCCTATGCGCTTGTCTACTGAAGCTCCACCAAGTCGGGCCTCGTTGGACCAGCCCAGAGGATGGTGGCACGGCCTCCGCGTTCAGCCGCTTCCAGATATCGACTGCGAACGCGGTACCTGGGATGTCATCGGCCACGTATTGATCGGAATTCGTCGGTATAACCATTATTCCGCAGAATCGCCTGTCGAGCCTGGACAGAAGCCCGAGAGCAAAGTCAGCGAGAAGAAAACGAGCGACGAGGACGGCCTCAAAGCACAGGACCTCCAGCGCTGGGAAGCGTGGACACTAGACATCTCCGAGGCTGTTCCGGTTATCCATGCTTCTGCGCTAGATGACCTCAAGCTGGTCACGACCCCCGTGCCAACCGGCGCAAAGGCACGATCACGCATCTATCCAAGACTTCCTTTTACGAGAGTCATGTCAGCAGCTGTGACAGGACCCGGCTCGTTTGCGGCTGGATTCGGCAACATTATTGGCATCGTCGATTTCACCCAGTCAACTACAACTGCAGTACCAACCACCGGAGACGAAGCCTTCAGCTTTCCGTTACCCTCTCGGCAACATTGAGCCGAATATTAGCTCACATCGCACCTCATTTCTGCTTGGGACACAATTTATGTATGTTACATTTATGAGGACAGCGTTTGTACATTACAGGCACGGACGGGAATCCGCCGGACGTTGAATAGCACGACAGCGTGTTCACCCTTTGTTTTCATCCCGTGTCATCTAGTATGAAATCTCGTGATCGCGACCACTATGTTGTTCCATAATGAGTTGGGTGTCAGAAACGAGGGTGTTGATTACTGATGTCGAGCAATCAGCAGGGAAGACATGCGTCTGCTCTATCACGTAATGGTATTCTTGCTGGACGCGAGTCATCTCTGTTCTGTGCTCTATCCTTCGTGCTGCTTCGCACCCCATTCTATCACCGCCGACGCGCCTTATTCTTTCGATCGTGTTTATCCTATAAAAGGCAGGCATGGACTGGGACACGGTCTCTTCCCATCTTCTCCTTCGACCACCATCTCCTCGAACTGCTCGTAACAGAAAAAACGTACTGCTTCAACACCTCCACGATGGCCAAGATCACCGCAAGTAAGAAGTCAAGCAATAAAAAGAAGAACACATCCGTGGCTGAGAAGGGAGTCAACGTGAAAAAAGAAAAAGGGAAGGAGCTCAAGTCTACTGCCGCCGGTGCGGACAAGGATAAAGAGAACACCAAGACTGGTGAAGCAGCCAAGCCGAAGAGGAAGAAGAAGTTCAAGGAGACTTGGTCAGGATATATTTATAAGGGTATGCACATGGCCACACGTGTCATTTTCCCAACTGACCCACATATACAGTGCTGAAACAGGTCCATCCCGAGACTGGCGTTTCGAACAAGGCCATGAGTGTCCTTTGCTCGTTCGTCACCGATACCTTCGAGCGCCTTCTTAGGGAGGCTGCAGGTGCGTTCATCGCGCATATATGTCTCTGGGTCACTACATTGACGGTGTTTTTTACAGTTATTTCCCAGATCAATCGCAAGTCGACCATCACGTCAAGGGAGATTCAAACTGCAGTTCGGCTTGTTATTCCCGGTGAACTGGCCAAACACGCCGTGTCTGAGGGCACGAAGAGTGTCACGAAGATTACGTTGATGTGAGCCCGAACGATTGTGGTATCTCGTGCATATTCTCAACGGTTTTAACAGGGGTCATCCGCACGGCAAACACAAGTGAATGCTCACAATTCATGATCCTGACTCCGAGATCCGTAATATGTATTAAACAACACCTAAGGTTGTAACAGTTAGAGGGTGACGTGTCATTGTACAAACAAAAAATGTGGTAGTAGAAAATGGATTCGACACAGATATGGGAGCGGATCAAAAGCCTCGGGAAACAAAACGTGAACATATGCACAAGGTCAGTAAGAATACATGCATACCATATTTTTTCCTTGATTCCCTCCTCGCCTGCTTTCCAGAAGACAAATTCTCTTCAATCTGCTGCTGCATAGACATTGCCTTCGCAATTTCTCCGGCCAACTGATGTCGGACATTCGCAACGCGGCTCGTCTTAGACGCCTGCAACGGAAGATCAGTGAATGAACCATGCATACAACGAATGACACCTACAGACGGTTTGTATGCCGGCTGTATGCGGCCTTCTTCTTCTGCTTTCTTTCTCTCCTCGTCCTCCAGTCTCTTGGCCTCGCGCTGGGCGCTCCGTTTCTGTCTCTCGACCTCGGCCTCCTGCCATGCCTTCCTCGCATTCGCTTCCACGCCATACTCGGCCCGATACTCCTCGAACCCCTTCTCTGGTAATGCTGGCGGGAGAGCATCGGTCGCAGTATCGTTTCCGACCCAGCGGTTATAGAATTGCATGTAGTAGTCTTTCTCGTATTGTTGCCACGCTCCGCTAGGGTCCTTGTAGAACCCGGGGTAAGGATCCTCTTGCGTTGGTTCAGGCGAAATGAAGTTCTCCCAATCCTCCAGCTCGGGCGCAGCAATAACAGCAGGAAAAGATATAGGCTCCTTGTCTATCTCTTCCTGCCTCTTGCTGAGTATAGCCTTGTTTGCCTCGGACTCCGCTCCCGTATTGTTCCGCCCGTTCATCCACGCATCTCCCGGAGTAACACCCTCTTCCAAGCTCTGCCTCTCCCACTGATTTCGATGCAGTGTTGATGGATTCACGATCTTGTGTCCGTCTTTTTCTGATGCTTCAGTAACCGGATCTGGGGCATATCCTAGTTCCCATGGGTTCATGTACTCCGTGTTAACATCTGTGACGACCTCACCCAAAGCACTGATCGCCTCCTTGGGCTTAATGACCGATTTGAGATCTTCAGGCTTGGTGACAGCGGAACGCTTCGGTGAGGGAAGAACAAGTGAAGTGGTTTTTGGGGCGGGTAGCATGCTGAGCAGGCTGGTCCTGCCATTACTCGATGTGGGGCCATCGTCGTTCTTTTTCTGGCGCTTCGCAGGTCGTTCGTCTTCGTCTGCCTCGTTGTTCTCGTCTACCGATCTCAGCTTGGGCACCACAATTTTTTTGGGACCCTCTGACTTCGCATTCTTCGGTGGTGGCAAGCTGGCCAGCAGAGAAGCCTCAGACTCAGATAATGCCTTGGTGGTGGAGGGCCCTGCAATATGCGTCTGAACGATTACTTCCTCTTCATCGTCGCTTCCATATTCACTGATCCCAAGGGAGCTGACCGTCTCCATGATCGGTAGAAGACGACGAAAGCAACAAACTCACCGTTAGTTGCCACTAAATATCTTTTGCCATAATTTGAGGGCGTGATAGGGCAGATTACTTCCGTGGGGCCAAAGGACTCCAGCACAGCCTCTAATCTTGGCAGGCACGTGATTGTAAACGCGTTCTTCCCCTCTTCGTGTCGGAGACCCTCGCAGTCCACCTGCCTCGAGGAGGTACACCACCATATTCCACACACTACCGATTCGCATGCCGAGTTATACCCCACGTTAACTGCGTACAACTACTGCAACTATCTAATTGTATACTGGAACAAAAGTCGACATCCAGTGGACCGAGCCAGACGGCCCATGCAGCAGCCGTCGATCACAGCGCTCCAAGTGCGCCTTCGTTCGCTAGTCTGGTATTGCCTCGACGAGGAGCTTCACCGCTCTGCTGTATTCTTTGCTGAGAGGCTGTATTGTCTTGATCCGTCAAACCATGACTCCCGACATCTGTATGCGACTGCTATGCTCCACAACGGGCAAACTCCTTCAGCATCCTACATTGTAACCAACCTTGACTGCCTGGAGTGCACTCGGATATTCTCCCAATGCTGTGAGGCCCAGGGACGGAATAGAATGGGAAGAGATGCGTTGGAGGAGAGTCTTAGGAGGAATGGGACTGCTAGTCTTGGTGTGTCCGTGTCATTCGGTTGCGGAGAACTCCTCAAATCTGACACGCATGCGGCATAGGCGTTGCAGGTCTACGAGAGGTCAGGCTCACTCGGGATGAGGCGGCCGTACAATGTACGATGGGAAATCTGGCTGCCAAAGGCAATCAGCCTGAAGTAGCGAAACAGCATTATCTCCGTGCTCTCTCTCTGAATCCCTGGATTTGGGAAGCATATGAAGGTCTGGCCTATCAGTGTAAGCGTTGTCACTCACTTGCGGCCTTCAGATGCTTATATTTATTTCATATTTTAGCTACGTTCCCAGAGTTGGATAATATATTGGCTGCACGACGTAAAGTGCCCAACAAGCGACGGGCGCTTTCTGACGACCCTATGGATGACATTGATGAACATGCACTTCCCCCACCTGCTGCAACCGGTGCTGGGTTCTTCACTCCCAGTACCAACGGCGCTACAGCTCCGCCGCCGCCACCACCTTTGTTTCTCAATCGAAATGGGCGAGTTATGTATGCTGCAGACTTTTGCCATGTGCTCATGGTCGTGTCTCCAGGACCACCAAAGTCCCTATCCCAAAAGCCACCGGAGCAGCCGCTGGTCCTTCACGATTACCAACCATTCCCGCTCGTCAGGCCGAGGGTCGTCCCCCAGTTCTGAAGAAAGCTCGCTCTCAGACCGCAACTGCGGCACCTCCAGCTCGCCCGACAAGATCTAGTACTCAGGATCTCCGCAAAGTAAGTTTCTCTCGATTTCCTGGAACATTTCTCACAAGATCATTTGTAGGGATCCTCTTCGCGCTCGACGAGCGTGGAAGCGCCATTAACCCGACGCAGTACCCGCCTTGCGAGCGCTTTGAGGAAGCCGCAGCAGCTCGCAAAGGTAATGCGCTACCTGGTTCATACAGTGCATTCCCCTGATTTCTCCCCAGAAACCGCCTCCACCCCCTTTACAGCAACGTACAAAGCGAGTGCCTGGAAGACAAGTGCCAAAGGAACCACCAGCTCGGATTGACGAAGTACGAGAACCGGGGGGGTACTCCCCCTCCTCGCATTCCGCGGCGTCTCCTCCAGTCGATGCGTTCGCCATGCGAAATACAATGTGGAATGTAGCAGAGCAAATACACCAGGAGCAGGTGGACAAAGAAGATGCTGACCAGTGGATTGACGAGCTCGTGCGGATAATGGCCAAGGCAGTGCGGGCTCTGACGAATTACCGGTGTAGCGAATGTTTGGATGAATTGGACAAACTCCCTGAATCTCAGGAGAGATGTGCTTGGGTCTACTGCTTGATTGGGAGGGCGAAATATGAGATGACTAATTATCAGAGTGTGAGTGTTTGGCCTGTCTCTGCAGGTGTTTTCACTAACGACTCCGAAGGCGGAACGAGCATTCCAGATGGCTCGGCTAATGGATCCACATCGACAGGAAGACATGGAAATCTATTCGACGTTACTCTGGCACTTATCGCGCGAAGTCGCCTTATCTTTCCTCGCTCAAGAGTTGGTTGCGTCAAACTCGCGGGCACCGCAAGCTTGGGTTGCAGTGGGGAACTGCTTCTCATTGAAGAAAGAGCATGCCCATGCCCAGACATGCTTCCGACGGGCAGCACGATGCAATCCTAGCTTTGCGTACGCGTACACTCTGAGCGGGCACGAGGCTTTGGCCACGGATGAGACGGAGAAAGCGATGGCACTTTTCCAGACGGCCGTGCGAACTGATCAGCGACATTACAACGCCTGGTAGGTAAACTTCGCCTCGGCAATCATTAATGGTACTGACGCGTGTCTCTTATCTCAGGTATGGACTGGGACGCGCGTACCTCAAGCAGATGAAGTTCCGTATGGCAGAGTACCACTTCCGGAAGGCCGTGGACTTGAATCCCTCGAACGCTGTTCTGGTCTGCTGTGTTGGCACCGTACGTGGTTCTCTTCTTGTGGGGATTGACTTGAACTGACTGATATTCCTCGCTTGCTGTGTTTTTACTGTGTCTGTTTTGCTTCGGTCTTCCTTGGTCACGCCCGCTGTAATTCTGGACGGATTCTAATTCTATCTGACAACGCCATCCTCCTGTCAACGCTGATCACTTCCCCAACATTCTCCGCGTTGTCGGGCGCCGCGGGGTGCTATCGCCGGTATACAAACGGCTTTGAACCCTTATCATGGCCTGCGCTTTGCTTCATTCTCGGTGTTCCTATTCCTAGGTCCTGGAGAAGCGGGGTCAACGGGAAAATGCGCTCACGGTGTACGATGCGGCGCACGCGCTCGCGCCCACAAGCGCGATGGTATTGTTCCGCCGTGCCAAAGTCCAAGTAGAGCTTCAGCGCTATCAGGCAAATCCCCCTTTTCTTCCCTTATCACACGCCCAACGATTAACGCCGGTTGCACAGGACGCACTCCGGGATTTGGTGACGCTACGGGACACAGTACCAGAAGAAGCAAACGTTGCGTACACACTTGGGCGAGTGTACCTACTTCTGGGGGACAGGATCGAAGCCACGCGCACACTTGCGATCGCCCAGGATTTGGAACACAAGTTGGGGCCAGCGATCAAGATGTTGCTCGAGGCGGGGCAAGAGGAAGGACCGGGCCGAGGAGGAGAGGGGTTGGGAGGTGCAAGTGCTGGTGGCGGAAGTGCTGGAACGGCAACGGCGGGGAACGGAGGAGAGCGGGGTGGGCCGGATGCGAGCGTAAGCATGGCCGAAGCGTCCACAATGGATGTAGAAGACGTGCCATAGCCAGTTCACAAATACACAGCTATAGGTCGTGATGTGCCCCTGTTGCACGATCCCCGGTTCCTGCGGCGACGAGAATTGATTCAGAGTTGCCAGCGGAACGACACCTGGCCAGCCCATCTTTGGACACAGGCCAGGCCGTACCGCAATTCCCGGGACCGAACTGGGCGGACCTCCGACTGATTCCTTGTGATGCACGAGAACCCCTGAACAAGCCCGAAGGCCCGTAAGACGGAGTTGTGGCATTCCGGTGAACGGGGGATGATAAGCATTCGGGCGGAAGGCCGACGTGCAGCGGGGGCCCCTATCAGTACGAAGTTCGTGCCATTCCCCACCCAAGGGGCATCAGGCGTCTCCTCCCTAATTAGTTATTTCCTATCTTTGATAAAGGCAGAGAGGTATGTGCACAGGGGCGACGACAGGGGTTCTCATAGCTGTCTAAAGTGTTCAATTGGCTTGATCGGAGATGTTCTATCTATTGAGAATAATATTTCTGACCGCGTTGTTGACTGCTGTGTGATAGGGGAACGAGTGGCGTTGGTATGATTACCAGTGTGACGAAGATAGGGTACGTGCTGTTGAATGGGAGTCAGAGGATCTGCCGGAATTGCTATTCAGCAGTCCCGGAGTCATGTTCCCGTGATCACCACATTGCTCCAATTGTGCGTCACCCACATAAGATTGGCGCCATGGTATTACAATAATTGCGAGATGTCTACAAGATGGCGAGTTGATGACGCTTTACTGTTGATGATAGTTGGAGCACGCCTGAGCACGCAACTTATCAGAGTTGGGAGAAGAGAGGGGGAGAGTTACTCGGGCGGCTGACATAGAAGCGCCCTATGTGACCGGATGCAATTGTGCTTAGCGTAGGGATGTTTTGTATGTTGTGACTGTTGCGGTAGTTTGCGTGATTCGTTGTGATATAGGGGTGTCCGGTGTCCTCACTTTGAGTTCTTTGATGACGGAAGGAAAGGCACCCCCACCCGGAAGTATAATGAATCACGCGCCCTGTGCGTTAAGGCTGACTCGCCCCTCTCTTGATGAAGGCAACAAGCAATCCAGGGCATTTCCCCCCCGCTCACCTCACCTCTTCCTTTTACCACCACCATCTCCTCCGTTCAACAATTAGTTTTCCCAACAATGTTCTCCGTATAAGTCGTCTACAACTTGCCTGAACAAGCGGTGGATTCTCTTTTGTGACAATGCACCTTGACGATTCGACGCGCCGCAGACTGCTGTTTGAGCCGTACGTCGTCGATCGTATACACGCCTGATCAAGCAATTTCCCATCACACCGCCTGACACGGAATTTCCCCCGCAAAGTCACAATTCCGCCCTCTAGTTTGAACAGTCATCACACATCAGCCTCACCCCCACACGCACAACAATGACATCCCTCTTCAGTCGCCTATCTCCTCGCCGCTCCCGCTCATCATCCCCGCCATCACGTCCTACTTCCCCCTCGCACAAGTCAACCCCCGCACCTCCTATCATGGATCCGACTACAATCGCCCGCATATCCCGTCGCAAGCTCGCCCTGGCAGCGATGGAGGCCTCAACGCGCGACAGCTTGGAGCTCCGCAGAGTCGTTCTCATCCAGGGCGCCATGCACGCGGCTGCTAACGCGTCGGCCGCTACCCACCGCCCGCCATCCCCTCCTCGCGCTCCGCTATCACCGGCACCGCCACAGATCGTCGTTTCCCCTCCCCCTCCCCCGCCGTCCCCTCCAGAGCCTCAGTTCCAGTTCCCCTCCTTCGGGCTCGAGGAGCTACAGGCAGAGGAGCGGTGGTTTGATGCCGTACTCGACGAGCTCGATCAAGATATGGATGAGGAGGACGAAGTGGACCATCTCATAACAGTGCACACAGTCCAGGAAAGCACGGACTCGAGCTCAGACGGTACCGTTTCTGAGGCTGGTTCGGAGGGCATGGACCTTGAAGATCTGTTCTACCCACCGCCGCCACCATACTCTCTCATCCCGGCCTCAGCACCACCACCCGAAGAACACCAGGAGAGCGAACCGAAAGCGATAACGTTCGACGCTTCGCATCCCCCTCCGCTACCAGACAGTTTTGCCGCTGATGCATGGGACGACTACGATGATGGCTCGGAGAAGGTTTCCATAGCTACCCTGTTCAGTGACGTCGACCTCTCCTCTGGAGTGTCGACCACTGCGACCCTCACTATCTCTGCCGCAGCTGTCGCAGCCGCTTCCAGCACGCAGCACCAGAAGCCGCAGAAGCTAGAACGGGATTACGGAAGCCGTAAAGGAATGCGTAGTACTATGCCACCTGGATATGGCATGTATCCCCCTATCTCGCCCTATGAACTCGTATGGCCCGGAAGGTATGACTACGACGCGGTGGTCTACTAGCCTCCGCCCACTAAAATGTAAACACCCCGCCGATCAAGGATCGACAACATCTTGCTACACCCGCCTCCGTCTTGGTCTCCGTCTCATCGATGTTCATCCTCGTCTCTCTCTGGTATCCTCGTCGGTCTCATCTCGTTTCTTTCTCGTCAATCTTATTCTAGCACACATTACTACTGCACGCCTCTCCTCCCCTCCAACCCCTCGTCCATGCTCACGCTCATCATCACACACATTACTCCGGCCCAAGCCTCCGTCATCGTCTCCCCGGTCTCAACTGTACAGCTGTATCCACTCTGCTTCCTTTTCTCTCACTGTATAGCCCCCACCTCACTGGTTCATATCTCCTATCCACTTTCCGTACCTTCTCCTCCCCTCCCACCTGTTTCTATCTCTGACCCCCGATTCCCCGGTTATATCGCTGCAGTAATGTGTGCTTCTACATAACGACTCCTGTCTCTCTAGTTCCTCCTATTCCGTCTCTGTCACCTGTGCTGATCTCTACCAACCTAGCTCGTGCGCTCAGGGAGTGCAGGGTGTGGTCTGGATGGGAGACGCTGGGCAAAGGTTGTAGATAAATTGTCTGGGCATGCGCCGTAATGGGACGTGTTTCGGATGACTTTTCGCTGTTTGTTTTACTTCATAGGCAAGATATGTGCGCAGGGCGCGCTGTCGCTCGGTCTCTGCCCTAAAAGCCTGCTTCTTGCTGCATCGTGGTTACAGCGCACTCGATCCATTCTCCACGACCAAGTGGGAAGACTTTCATACATGATAGGATTCGGATGAACTGGTTTGATTCTTTACTTTGCCATGGTGGACAGATATCTGGCGTTACATTTCTTCAGTGCTACCTGAAAGCTCTACCTTCCTTTAGTTTCTACATTGAAAACCTTGCTTCTCCGCTTGCCCGCATACTCACTGGCCCTTCAACTTACACGTGATAACATACGTCCTGTACGGCCAATTAAACACACCTTTCTCCTTGTCCACCCACTGCTTGCCCTCTCCACGATCTACGATCTCCTCAAGCTTCTTAGTGACTTCCTCCCTCTCGTGACCCTGCACGCCCGTCATATAGCTCTTGCTAAACACGCGGTTCACCACCCCCTCCCGCGTCGTAGGCACGAGGTGGTCCACGTCCCCTTCCTTCTCGCTCTCGAACCATTTCTTGTATGCCTCGCACTGGAATGTCGTGCGCCAGAGGCCGAGGCGGAACTGGGGCGTGCCGAGCTCGAACGGCTCGTATGCGTCACGCAGTTGGCCGACCCAGGCCGTGTCACGGTCTTCGAGGTTCCAGATGAGGGCTAGAAGGCCGGTGGGACGGAGGATGCGGTGGATCTCGGTCTTGAGGGGAAGGGTTAGCGGTTGAGAGGAATGGAACGGAGGGAAGAAGACCCGGGGACGGGGATGTGAACTAGATGGGGTTGGATGGGGTTGGATGCGGCTGGAAGTGAGGAACGAGGGAGAGGGGAGTAAGGCATGGGGTGGGATGAATATGGGAGCGGTGAGAATGGGAAAGAGAAAGAGGGTTGGTATGGGAAAGTAAGGAAGGACGAAAGAGAGGGAATCAAGAGATCAGAGAGCAAGATCATACAAGAGGGGATGGTCCGTTGAGGGCGGGTCGCCCTGCACAGGGGTGATTAGGGAAAGAGTGATGTAATGGGGTAGAGTGGGGAAGATGAATGAAAGGGGTAAGAAACGGGGATCACACCATCTCTTTCGCAGGCGTTCAATGGCCGGAAATTTCTTCCATCTCCGGCACATAAAAACATGATCCTCGGACTCACCAATGCCTTATCGTGATCCGGGCACCAATGCCACGCCTGGGCCGCGACGACCAGATCCGCCCATCCGTCCTCGACAGGGAGACGGTCAAATGTACCCTCTTCACATCGCACGCGCGGGTCGTGCGCCAGGCGCTGGGTGAACACGCTCCGCATTCCTTCGGAGGGGTCGGTCGCGAGAAGTGCACCTGTGTGCTTGGAGAATTCGGGGTGGGCGAGCAGGGAACGCGTGAACAGTCCCGTGCCGCATCCCATTCTGCTCATACCGACGGTCGCGTAAGAAAATAAGAAGGAACCGACGCTTTGGTCAGAATTGGACAAAATGGGAATGGACGGGGCGAGACGCACTCGACGATGTTCAGGGGGCCATCCTTCTTCGGCAGCTGCTCCCAGATCTTCTCGATAGCTGTTACAGGGAAATTCGGGCGCGCGAAATCATAGTGCTCGTTTGTGCCTTTCCCGAATCCGCGCTGGGCGACTTCGTGGACTTCGGAACCGAGGTGTTTGAGTGTGGCTGCCATGGATGTATAACGCGGAGTGAAGCAAGCAGAGAGCCAGCGAAGAGCAAGGGGTAGAGATACGCTGATGAAGTCGGGGAGATTATATAGAGTCGGTAATCCATATATAAACCCGGATAGCAATTGTGCAAGTCGCAGTCACCTCCAACAGTACATTAAAGTGCTTCTGGGGATGATCTGCTCCGAGCATACCGGCCCGTCGTAATATTGTCGGGCCGAGCCGCTAAAGCCGAGGCAATTACCATATTTGGTAATCCCGAAATATGTGCCCGATCAGAGATAGCGTCCGTTCAGGGATTATGTGACGACCAACTGCGCGTGCGACGTGATCGACAACAACGGTGGCACCGACTAATGGAGGGCGTCGCACCCTTGGACTGGAAATTGGACAACGCCATTCACTTGACTGTCGATGAGAAGCCTGCCGTCGTCTGGTTTACTGACCATGAGTTCAAGGTATCTGCTCTGGGCCTGCATGGGGGTATGAACTTTTGCCGCAGCGTCGTCGCAGCGCGGTTCTTGATGTTCGCGAATAGATGCACCAGACACTGTCAAGCTCTGCACTTCTCTGAAGCATGTTCTTCACGGAGAGCTGCGGGCTGATGGTAGCGCACACATTGCTACGCTCGCGCTGAAGCAGAAGCAACATGTGGTGCTTTGGATCACCGGCAAGCCCCAGGATGGGGAAAAGGAACTGGTGCAGGCGTGGATGGGACGGCTGATGACTGCTGCGGGATGTGAGTTTCTCCGTGCCATACAAGAGATAGAAGATGTTGATAAGAGACATGCCGTGCAGGTATCGTTCCCGGAAGGCGGATCAAGGTGATTGTGAACCCCTTCGGTGGGCAGGGGAAGGGCAAGCACATATTCGAGCATCGCGCACGGCCCGTGTTCGAAGCTGCTAAATGCTTCCTGGATGTTACATGTCCGTCATATTCGGTGTATTTGGCTGCCCCCGCTGATGGCTGTTCGCTGAGCAGTCACCACCCACTCCGGGCACGCAGAGGAAGTGGCCGCATCCCTCGACGTCTCTGCGTACGACGCCATCGCGATCGTATCCGGCGACGGGGTGGCATACGAAGTGTTCAACGGACTTGCGAAACACAAGGATGCGCTGAGAGCACTGCGGTTGCCTGTGGCCCATGTACCTGCTGGAAGTGGGAACGCGTTCACCGTGTCGCTTATCGGCCCAAAGGTGTGCACGTCTTCTCGGCCAGGAGGTCGCTCGCTGACGACGTATGTGCAGGACTGTCGTGATGTCGCCCTTGCCGTGCTCAACGCTGTCAAAGGACGGGTTGTTCCTCTAGACATCGCCAGCATCACCCAGGGCAATGAGCGGCGGGTCACCTTCCTCTCGCAGACGATGGGCCTCATGGCCGACCTAGACTTGGGCACAGAGAACCTGAGGTGGATGGGCGATCAGAGGTTCATCGTTGGGTTCGTCCAGGGAGGTACGTGTCTGTGCGCTGCGCTAAGGATGAAACGTCGACTGATGTTGCGACGAGTGCTGAGAATGAAGCATTGTCCCGTCAAAGTATGGCTTAAAGTAGCCGAAAGCGACAAGCAAAAAATAGCCGACGTCTTCCGAGCACATTACACGTTCAACACTGATAAAAGCCACGCGGACGGAACCGCTAATGGCACTGCTAATGGGAACGCATCTGCCTTAGAGGAGGAGCCTGCTGAGGGCGAGGGAATGCCGCCTTTGAAGTGGAGGGACTCGGACAACGATGGATGGGTCGAGTTCCCGGAAAAGATCATCTACCTATAGTCAGTCACGTCCTTGTGCTCGAGAAAGGCAGTCCTGATGAACATCCCAGTGGTGGGATGATGCCGTACGTTGCAAGAGACTTTATGCAGTTCCCTGCAGCAGAGATGAACGACGGATGCCTGGATTTGGTATTGCAGACTCCGGTACGTACAGCTTTCCTTCCCGAGGGCCGTCACTGAGGAGAGCCCATGCAGGCGCCTCGTACCACTATGCTATCTTCGCAGGACGGCGCGCACTCCGGCAAACAGTTCTGGATGCCCTCGCAGCATTACTTCAAGGTGCATGCATATCGTGCTATACCTCTCGCTCAGAAGGGCAACATCTCGATTGACGGTGAACGTTGGCCGTTCTTGCCGTTCCAGGTGGAGGTGCATAAGGGGTTGGGCAGGACGTTGAGCATGCTTGGCCGGTGGGCTGGAGAGGGGGGTTGTTTGACGCAAGAAGAGAAGTGAGGATGATGGACTTGTGTTACGCATGTTATACCCTTGTAGAGTTTTGATTGGCAGTAATGAGAGGACGGACAGCGACATATATGCACATTGTAGCGGTGACATGGTTTACATATATGCTTTGAACAGCGACTGTACCAGCATAGACAGAGATTACAGAACACTTTACTAACGGGAAACACTGAGGGGAGGGTGGTCCGCATACCGCATATGTAGTATGAGACGACCCCATAAGCGCGCATACACGCTCACTTCTCCTCCGCGTTACCCATGTACTCGTCCGCCTCCTCGTCGGCGGCAGCCTCGGGCTCGGCAGCAAGGCCGGCCTTCTCGAGCGCCTCCTTGGAGGAGTAGTCGACGGGTGCACGGCGGCGAGGAGCGGACAGGATCGCGGTGGTGTCGAGGGGCTCCTCCTTTGCACACGTGTGTCAGGTGGTGCATATACGAACCACTCAGAGGGAGAGGCGTACCTCGACAAGATCGTCGCCATCGTCATCATCGTCCTCCTCCTCCTCTTCGTCGTCATCATCGTCCTCCATATCTTCGTCGACGGGCTCCGCGGCCTTGCCCTTGCCCTTGTCCACCGCAGCGGCGGTCTCGACAGGCGCGGCGTTGCCGTTCTCGTGGGTCACGGTACTTTAGAGCATCGCGTCAACTCTAGCCTCTATTTGATAGAATGAGAAACCTACGTATCAGTGGTGACTTCGTTAGACATTTTGCTAGTTTTTCGTGTTCGCGGCAGACGGTAGATACAGACGGTCGTGGTATGAACGAGAGTTAGGGATGCTGGTCTGCGGGACTGACGGCGCGTGAAGACGCGTTCAAGTTTGGGGTGGAAATATATTCGCGTCTCTCCTCGGGAGTTGTCCCATGCCTCCGAAGGGAAGAATATTGGAATGACCCACCGTTTCTTAGAGATTTTTATTCATTTTGATTCGATGAATGACCTGCTTGATAGATGAACTGAAGTTATATATCACCTTCTATGATCAGTAGTGGCCAGAGTGATCACGTCAGAAGAATAAAGTTTGGAGCTCTGAGTTTTCATTAATTTCCTACGATATATTCGTCTGAGAAAAAAGACATCGTTACTCTCTCAAGACCTGATCCAAACTCTTTTTTGCTGAGGTTTGCCTGCTTGTGAGAAAGAAACACCTAGAAGATGGGACACGCGAGGTGACCTGCCCTAAACTTGCGCGTTCCTTCCAGTCGCGTCGCGTCGCACCCACCATCTTCACAGTTACCACCATCTGCTCTTGCTTGGTATAAAGCTCTCCAGTCGTCAGCCAAGACTCCGCAAAACCGTCCTCTGCGTCCTTCACCAGCCCTATGCCCTTCCTCGCCTCTCAACGCCCAAGGACCACGCAGCACACCTGCTCGGCACCAGCATGCCCTACCACCACCAGCCCAGTTCCAGCCCAGTTGATCCACGATCTGAGGCCCTAGAGGACTCGAGAGTGTTATCTAACCCTAAGTGTTGATGTTCGCTGCGTGTCCTCATTTTACTCGAGATTGCTGTTCTGGCGAGTGTGCATTCCGGAGAGCGACCGGAAGGGACCAATGCGGTCCGGCTTTACTGGAATGTCAGGATGGACACCTGCGCTTGGTGATCTTCCGATCTCCTCCTGTGCTCTTGACTCTTCCTTGCACTATCTTTCGCTGTGAAGTTGAGCTCTATATACGCGTCTCTCCGGCACGTACATCCACCCCACTGCCTTCAGCTTGTCAGACTACGGACAGAAACCTGCTAGCACCGAGTCAGGTCCTCACATTCGTTACTCGTCAGCGCAGCTCACGCATAGAAAACACTGTCTGTTTGCTGTGGATGGCAGTATGGATGCGAGCTTCGGTGTCGGAACGCGCGGTTTCATGTCTGACGAGCGTGGGCAGAGGCGCTGGATGCACTAGAGAGACGCCCCCTTGGAGGAGCTCGACGGAGCGACATACGCACAAGTGCAGGATGAGCCCGAGAAGCACAGCATCAGCACACGAACAAGCATGCCATCGCGCTGCTTCTCTTGCTGGTGTCGTTCACGAGGTTGGATGCACCGTGACTTGGGGGCACCCGGTACGATCATCCCGACTACTCCACCAAGCCGCACCTCGCAGCCAGCAATCGTACCGAGTCCACACATGGGACACTAGCGACATGCGGCTTGCCTCCCCTTCTCTGAGCTGCTAAGAGCAGCTCAAATCCCCGCGAAGTTTAACCGGTCCTACCATCGCCGCGGATGCACGCTCGTTGCGTCGAGACAGCCTGATGAGGGCCGTCATAGACGTTCGGGTGTGGGTCGTCCGGAAGCGCCGGCGTGCGCTGTGAGGGATCGACGGCGAACTGGGTGATTCGAAAGGATCAGGCGTGGTAGGGAACGTTGCTGTGCTGGGCGTGAAGTCTGGAAACGAACAGGAAGGCATAAGGCGGGCGAATGGCAAGGATCGACGCGATGTGGCCGAGCTGGACGCAAGCGACTCTTGGGCCCGACCTCGCAAACCGATGAACTCGGTGACCATGATGTCCTGCAAGCATTGGCCATCTCCGATGGATGAACCTGCTGTCGGCGTTGTTTTTGTCATCGCACGCTGATCCGCCCCTGGTATCTGCGCTTCCTCCAGGAAGCCAGACCGCTGTTGCTCCCATGTCGCAGGTGGAAAGTCTCGCTTTCTTCGATGTATTGCCAACCAGATTGACCCGGTCGGATGGATACGGGAGTGCGTCCTCCCCCGTTGCAAAACTTTACAGGCACGTCGAATTCGCAGGTTCTTGGTCGCCAAGATCCGCCTGTTGCCGTCCATGCAGTGCTTCATCCTCGCTCTTTCGCAGTCGATGCCTACTCAATCCGCCGGCTTTTCTGCTATTCCTCTGCTTCCGATTGGCGCACTGTTGCCTTCGTGTTGTTCTCCTTGCATCCATCTGCTGTATCCTTCGCCAGTTCAGGCACAGCGTTCTGTTGTCTCCCTCATCATCCCAGAATGTGGACCCTCTATAGGGACTGCATTAGAGCTATGTGCTCGTGTACTGGTGTGCATGAGACTCCAGCCCCACGGGGCGGAGAGAACGACGCTGGTGCTGGTCCTGGCAAGATGTAGCAAGTTGCGAGCTGAACCGCGATCTCGCGTGCATGGTGTGTTGGGGAACATGGTCGGGGGTATGGTAGTTGGGAGGTCGGTGCAGCATCAGGCTTCGTATAAAAAGACGAGGCTCTGGACCGCATTGGATTGTGCACTGGCGATGAGCCACCGGAATACCTCCTTTTGGAGCTGCATTTCACGTTCTTGCAAAGCTGGCAGCTGCTCCTCTGGCATCGGTGTGCACTGGGACGATGGTATCATTGTTGAAAGGAGGAACTGACTGCTGGAAACGGCGGTCAAAGTACACTAGGCACGAGACTGGGTCCAAAACCGATCTGGACGCAGCAAACGGAAGGGGAAGCTATGACTTCGAAAGTGGACTCAAGCGATGCGATGACCTGAATGACGCACCGCCTGCCTTTTACGGGCGGTGACAGCGTGGTGATATCGGCTGCTTTGGCAGACTGGATATGCGCCCGTGTTGGAAGGAGAGGGCTTGACAGCCCGTTGACCCTTCCTGGACATCATTACTAATTTTTTCCACCTTTTGCCTTTTGGCAACTCCCATTTCGCATCATGGACGGCAAGCTGCAAGTCTATCAAAGGTGATGTTATAACGTTGTATGCCAAATAGGCTTCTTGTTAATCAAGTAATACAGGTCATGTCGTGTGGGTATGAGCAGGATGAAGAAAGCAGGATTCCGTTCAGACTTCCTCCGTCTTCTTAAAATTGCCCATATTGGTCGTCCTGTAAAATGTGTGAATTGCTGTGTCGGTACAATGATCTAGTACGCACTCAACAGGCATGCCGAATATGTCAATCGCATCAATGCGGGTCGTGTCCTCGTCACCGTGATTTGAGGCGACAAAAATCTGTTACCAACCACGTGAGTCGTGTTCAAAGCCTGCAGGTGTATGCGCACATGTAGACTGGTCACCCTTGTAAACCTCACAGTTCGGAGGATGATCGGCTTCCCCGCCAGGTTCTCCTCAGTAACCTCCAGGACCTGCGCGGCTTCCGCCTCCTCGACGTCCTCGACATCCTCAAATCCGAGAGCAGGCTTGTTCAAAAAGAGCTTGATCTTCTTCGGGCCCTGGGGAAGTTCTTTCGCCTGGATGACAAGCCCACGTACGCGCACGGCTTGGTTAAACTGTCTTCCCATTAGCATGTTCTCGAGCAGGAGGGAAAGAGCAGCATACATAAATGTTCAACAACAGCTCCTCATCCGCATCGCTCTCCAACCACGCCCCGCTCTTGTTCTTTCCCTTATTACTAATAACCCCTTTGATCCCATGCTGCTCTGCCTCATTAAGGCAGTTCAACTGCGAAGGGTCCAGGAACTCTAACAGGGAGACGGTGTCCACCAGGTCGTCCTTGCCTTTGCTCGAGCTGTCGCCGGAGCTCGAGGCTGTTGCGCTCGGAGGAGCAGGCCCTGCATGAACGGCGACGATCTGTTGCAACTGTCCGGCACTGGCACCTCGTACCTATAGCACCCACGCGACGTTAATCCCAAAATGAGCCAATCGAAAGGCACATAACACGTACCCTGCCGACTTCCTGACCTCCTTTGAGTAAGACAAAGGTCGGCATAGCAGTGACCTTGAACATCTGCGCGATCTCCTGGCTCCTATCTACATCCACACGGGCGAAAGCAGCGTGTTTGTATTGCTTGGAGAGGGACTCGAACAGGGGCGCTATCTGGTGGCAGGGCCCGCACCAGGTTGCCATGAAGTCGATGACGACTAGACGGGTCGGAGAAGCAGTGAGCAGAGTTTGCAGCTCGGCGGTGGTACTGAGTGACTTGACAAGAGACATGATGATAATATAGAACGAGATAGACAGGAAAGAGAAAGATTGACAAAGCAAAAGGAGGAGGTAAGTGAAAGAGTTGACAAAATATCGGAGAACAATGCCCCCAGTGGAAAAGCTTACATAACCCGGAGATAACGCGACCGCTAATACATGTACGTGTATGCTTTTGGGCATCAACCAAGTACAAAAGTATGAAGTATCTGTCTTTCAAGATTTTCCTCACGATCGCCTGGAATCGCTCTTTTTTCATTTTGATCGAACAGAATTTTCAGTTCATGCGGTTTCATTCTTTGCAATGCGATCAACACAATGCACCAACACATCATTCTCCTCTAACCTATTCAAAGCCTCTCCCAATTCCCTCACATTTCCCCTCCATTCCAAGTCTCCCCAAGCCCGACGGACCGCCTCTTCCTGGCAGCTCCCATAGGTCGGGTCCTCGAGAAACGGCTTGCAACTCGCGAGGAGCATTGTAAGGCGATCTACCGCTTCCTGATCAGAGAGGTGGGTGAAGGACATCCCCGAGTCTTGCCATGGGATATACGGCTTCGCGGGAGTCGGTGGGAGTGTGACAGGAGTGATCGGTGTCGCAGGCGAATTGTTGGGCGTCCGCGAGTGAACGGGCACGGAGTGCGCAGGGGAATGCGAGTGAAACGAGGACATGCTGAAAGACGGCGAGCTGTTAAGGTAGCTAAGCCAGCTGGGCGATTCCCCGTTCGTCCCTGTGTCCATATTGACGTCCTTCGGCTCTTGCTGGGAAGGGGACGTGATTGGTGCCAGTGCCTGGGGTTCGAATGTCTGGAAGGGAGCAGTGAAACGGCCGCTACTGGAAGGAGAAGCGGAAGGAGGTGAGGCTACGAACCCGTGGCTCGCGAGGGGGGACTGTGACATATGAGAGGTGGGGGACAAGGCGCGCTGGTGCGGGGTGATGAAGCCATTTTGGGGAATTGCAGGGGGCAGGATGGCCGGCTGAAGCGTAGGCGTACGCGCTCGAGGCGGGGACGGAGTTCGCTCTTTCGGGAAACGCCATGATGCCTTTGGAGACGAGTTGGGCGAAGCAACAGGGGAAGCACGCCTGCTGCTCGGCGGGGTTGGGTCACCCTTGTTGGCCAGCCAGAGCGTCGTCAACGACGTTCCTTGCTTCATCCCCAATATTGTGGGCATTTCGGATGACAACGGAGGTCCGGTGACGGTGACAAAGAAGAGGTGTTTCTTTGTGCCATTGGCGTTAGAGGATGTTAGCCTGATAGGATTGCTCCTACGAATGTGCATTATTATGAATAAACGTGAATGACACTGATGAACGTACAGTTCCTGGTCAGCGAAGGCCGGTTCTTTGGCAAGGCGTTCCAACAATAACGCAGTTGAAGTACTTCGCCGCAGTCCAGTCACCTGCAGGCGAAAACACTGTTGAGAACCAGCTTTAGGCATATGTATCGAGTGATGTCCCAGGAGGTTGTCGACGCAGTAAATTGGACGAGTAGATATATGCGCCTGTGGTGGTCGCGCTCAGACAACGGGATGTCCGTTGTCGCTGCCGCCTTTTTGCTGAGCACTTTATGCCCAGCAGCTCCAAGTCCGCCGTTCAATAAGCGCCAGCATGTTGACTCCAACCCGCACAACGACCGCACACGAACCTCATCACCGGCGCGTGCCGCCTCCGCATTGGCGCCCTGGTGTCATTGCGCCCGCTAGAGAACGCGTGCACGACGCGTCCCTCTCTCTGCTCATCGTTTCTGACTTCGTATCACGACTTGGACTGCAAACGACCGCATACAGACTGTTAATCGACGCTGAAGTGCAGCGCTTCACTCTGCCTCTATTCTTGTTGCTTCTACGAAGTCCGAATTCGCACAGGTGCTCCGGTCACATATCAAGCGCCGGTACCGCACTAGTATCCACTCGCTCGTAGAATCACAGCAAAAAAGCAAAGATGCAGTCCTTCCTCAAGCAACCCAAACCGTCCCAGCAACAACAACAACCAAAACATGTTCATGACCCTTCACTTCAACCCTGGATAGAAAAATAGTCAGTAGTTACCTACTGTCTGCAATCTACAGAGAAGTCTGATAGAGACTTGCCCAGCCGGCCAAAGACGATGGAGGAAATCTCCGCGCAGGAGCATACGGTGCAGGTATTAAAGAAGACACTGGGAAGTGCGAATGTACGCGTCTTTCACACCAACTATCGCGCATATACGGATGACGTGCACGTTTGGTCTTATAGTTGCCACATATGCTTTTCTACGGACCACCGGGGACAGGCAAGACGAGCACCATCCTGGCCCTCGCTCGTCAACTATTCGGGTACGCCGTTCATGTTCCCCGACCATGTATGCTCACTTCCCATAGTCCTGAGCTCTTCCGTTCCCGCGTGCTGGAACTGAACGCCTCCGACGAACGAGGCATCACCGTCGTCCGAGAGAAGATCAAGAACTTTGCACGTCAGACCCCACGCGCAGCGGACGATGAGGCGTCTAAGGGATACCCCTGCCCTCCGTACAAGATTATCATACTCGATGAGGCGGATAGTATGACGCAGGACGCGCAAGCGGCGCTCAGGAGAGTGATGGAGACATACGCGAAGATTACGCGATTTTGTCTGGTGTGCAATTACGTGACGAGGTATGTGAATCGTTGCTCTCACTAGCTGCGCCCTCACTGTTGGTCAGGATAATAGAGCCTCTGGCATCCCGTTGCTCGAAATTCCGTTTTCACACCCTCGACGCGTCGTCCAACCGCGCTCGGCTGGAGTATATCGCCACGGCAGAACACGTCTCGGTCACACCAGCAGTTATCAGCACGCTCATATCGACCTCGGAGGGCGACCTGAGGAGAAGTATCACCTACCTTCAATCGGCGCACCGATTGTCGGCATCCACAAGCCCGCCGACAGAGATCCAGCCGAGAGACATTCAAGAGATCGCTGGTGTCATACCTAATGCGGTGGTGAACAGGTTCGCCAAGGCATTGGGTGTCGAGGTGGATGGGGATGTGGATATGGACATAGACGCGAGGAAGCAGGGGTTTGACGGAGTCCGCAATGCCGTGCAAGAGCTTGTTATGGGGGGCTATAGTGCCACTCAGGTCCTTTCGCAGGTACGCTCCTCTCATCTCTCAAACTTGCCTATCCTAACATATGAACCAGCTTCACGATATCATCATCCTCCACCCGCTCCTCTCCGGCCCGCAAAAGTCTAAATGCGCTCTCGTATTCGCGGAGATAGACAAGAAGCTAAGTGATGGGGCGGATGAGGAGCTCCAGCTGGTTGATATGGGGTTGAGGGTGTGGAAGGTTCTGCGATGAGCGTAGGCGAGCGTGTGGGTGACTTGTTCGCTGAGTGAAGGCCTGGTGGGTGATTGTCCTGGAAAGACTTCTCTTGATTGTCCACCGTTGTGCGTGTAGGCTGATGCTTAAGACATGTAGTTATTATGGGTTCGGATCAGGATTAGAATGATGCATATCGATTAGATCCGGAGTATGGGTGAGAGTATGATAGGCTTGAAAGATTGCAACACGCATTTGATCGAGGAAGAATATAAAGGGCAATGAGTTCTGTGCAGATGTCTTTTTTGGTCATTCCCCACCCTCAGACTTGCGCTGCAAACCCGTCGCCAAGTGATTGCCTGCTTCACATTATCATTAATGTAATATCAAACAAGTTATGTATTTTGCGTGGCTCAATATGTTTGGGGAATAATTTGTTAACCCCATAAAGCGACCAAATAGATTTAACCTCGTGCCTTGCCGAACGAACTTCTGCCCGGCCTAATCACACCACTGATGGGCGTTGCAAGACTTCTACCGCTATTCTTACCTCTTCACACCTTGCAACACTCCTTCCTTCTTGAGCAGTCTAATCGCCCAGCTCCAATCTGCTCAGCTTTGGCTGTGCACACAGCAACAGCGGACCTTCATCTCGTTTTGAGCGCTCGGCAGAACCGAATCTCCAGACAAGCCAAACTGGGCGCCATTCTCCTAAAGTATGTAACAATAGTCCGTCGGCAAGTTACGTCGTTCGACCGAAGATCACCAACGCCGGTGGGTTCGGTCTATGCTGTGCGTCCCTAAACTGGACACCATGTGCTGTACATATTCTGTCATCCCATTCAAGCTGTTGTATTCTCGGACCATTCTTCCTCAGGCACTCTTTCCCTCGCCAGAACGCATCATCTTCTCTTCCACCTAGCTCGTCTGATGTCAAGTCCGATTCTTCTCTGTCCAGAAAGCGCCCGTTGATCAAGGCGCTGCAACCAGGCTTTTACCTCGCCTCGGACAGATGGGCGCGGAGTGCAGTTCCCGCAGTCTTGCCGATCCAGCTGATTGGACCGTGAAGACGAGGTCACGAACTGGGGTGAAGGGCTCCGGGCGGCTGGACTCGGACTTTACGCTCTGCAGCGGCTGGGATATAAAATGGCTGGAAAGGCTCTCGCGCTCGTGTGACCTGTTTTCACCCTCTTGCTACTCTTGCTGCTATCGGACTGTGGATTCAGTGCATTCACTTGTCGATTGATTGCTTTGATTGATTGAGACTACTTGTGCTTAATTGCTTGAATCCTCGAGCGAGCCTTACGGTCCCATTGTAATCGAACCTTGGTCAACGACATGCTTGCATCACCTATACCTCCCTCCCTGCCCGGACCGTCGCGTTCGTCTTTGGACGATCTCGAGTCACTCTCTGAGCGCAGCCCTTCACCATCGTCGCACCCTCTCGACCTATCCTCCCTACCGATCGAGCTCATCTCACGTATCCTGCATCTCCTACTACTCTCCTACCCCGCTCGCACAGCTCCCCGCGCCCTCCTCCCTTTACTTCTCGTCTCCCGCACAATCTACAACATCGCCCTCTCCACCCCCTCCCTATGGACTTCTCTCCGCCTCACCGATACCGGTATCACACCCCGCCTCCAACTCCAACTCGAGCGCTCCGGCGCTCTCCCACTCGACATCGAGATCACCGTCCGGTGCCGATCTCACAAGTCCCTCCCATGCAAAGCCGGCATCTCCGCACTGATGGATTCCCTTGCCTCTCTGCGACCTAGCATGTCCCGCTGGGAATCGCTCGATCTCAACCTCTCCTCCTGCTGGCTCGCCCAGGAAGCACTAGCAACATGTGGCACCGCCCTCTTCTCCCTGTCCAAGCTCACCGTGCGCACAGGCCACTCCGACTCGGGGGACTACGCGACCCCTCTCCCTAGTGTGCTCCTACACATGCCGAAGCTGAGGGAAATCAATTTCCAGTGGTACAACTTCCGCTGGGTGCAGTCCTGTACCCTCCCGTCTGTACGCGCGCTTCGCTTGAGCAGTTACTACATGGACGACCCGGGCCTGGCTACTGAGCTATTGGAGATGCTCCGCGCTCTCCCGGAGCTCGAGAGACTGGAAATGGACACTGTGGCTGAACGATGGGTACCGAGGTTATCGCAACCTCCCGCGTTTGAGCCAGTCGAGCTCCCTCGACTGAGGAGTCTGAAGATGAGAGATTGCGGGCAGGATAAAGTCCTCGTCCTCTTGCGGGATATCAGGTGCCCGAACGTTCAGTGCCTGGAGATGGATATGCTTGGGCATATCAGTCCTCTCTTGGAGGTGCTGGCTGGTGAGGAACATATGTGGGAACGGCTGGAGGAAGTGAAGGTCGTCGCGTGCGAGTTTACGGCTGCGAATATGATGTTGTGGTTGAGAAGGATGCCGGCACTGGTGAGTTCCAACCATCAAACACCGTCTTTGGGTGCTGATGTTTGGGAATAGCGGAAATTGGAGATACGCGATTGTTCTCAAATGAACAAGGCCGTATCCGACCTGGTATGGTTGGCTGAAGGATGTGCTCGTGTATCACTCAACGACTTGGTGTAAGTTGTTCATCTGCATTATCGAGAAGTGTGCTGATCAGAACCAGCGAGTTGACTGTCTTAGAGGGGAGGCAGTTCTGTACGTTACACCTGCCATCACTGAGCATCAACCTCCAATAAAAGGTAGATGTCACCGTCTCCATTCCCAGATTTCTCTTCTTTCCGCAGTAGCACATTCTTCCTTCATGCGCATTCGCGTTCGCACACTCGAGTCTCAATTTGCACGATCTTTCGCACTTGCATCGACCCTGGCTCTCGCAAACGTCTTATATGGCTACATAATCTATCAATACAACAGAACATGGGAACGACGGCGAGATAGGGAGGGTTCAGCGGGACCGCGAGCCTCAAGAATTCAAATAACTCATCATCGCCCTCCTTTCTTCCGAGTCCTTCTTTGCCTGCCTCGCCCAGGCCTTCCAACCCTTCCCTCGTCTTTCCATCTCAGCTTTCCGATGCGCCTCCTGCCCCGCGCGTATATGCTCTCTGATCTCCTTTGAAGAGAAGGACGACTTCTTCTTCGCCTTGAGTCCGATACCGAGGCGATCGGCTTTGAGCACCGGACGGAGGGGCGTGAGGAGAGCCGTTGAGTGGGAGGTATCAGAAGATGGTGGTTGTTGGAGAGTGGGGGTTGCAGGCGATGCTGGAGCAGTCGAGAATATGCTGTCTTCCTCTGGCGTGGGAGAACGCGAGCCAGTGAGGTCGACGATCTCAGGCATCGTTTCTTCATCTTCTGCAGCCCTCTCGCTGCCTCTGACAGAGGGAGAAGTACCTCTGGTTGCAGGCTCCGACCTCACCTTTGCTGGCGGATGCGCTGCACCGAGACCATACCCCTCCTCCCACCCACTCCGGCGGAGCATCGCAAACCCTTTATTGCTCGGATCGAGAGCATACCATACCGAAGGCTTGAAGGCAGGCTCGGAGGGCTTAGGAGGGGGTTGCTGCGCGAGAAGGGCGGCAAGTCCTGGTGTCGATAAGGATAAGGATCTGGATGGCGGTTCCACTTGTGTTTGTGCTTGGGTGGAAAGGGCGCGGTGGATAAACCAGTCTGGTTGAGCACGTCGAGCTTTTCCGCGCGGGCGGGGCCTCGGAGGTGGTGGGAGAGAAGAGCTGCGAGGAGCTGGGGAGGGAACAGCGGCGGAGGTCGAGGGGATTTGTGATAGATCTTGCGAGGACATCGCAGTAGCTCGAGATGCAGACAGTTCTTGATACCAATCTGAAACGCTAGTGTCTGCCTTTACGTTCCCATCCAAGTTCGAGCTCGCTGTCCGTCCCTCCTCAGTGTCCAGGGAGCCACGAACGAAGGTAGGAATCTTGTATGGTCGGCGGGCGAACTTGATTTTTGCAGATTCAGCATTCCACAGCGCCTCGAGCTCCTGTTCTGGTATATCATCGCCTTCCTGTTCGGGCGTCGTATAATGCGAAGTGACATGGTGCGAGGTCGATGCCATTGGAATGGCTGACGCTGACCAAGGCCGTCGTCGTCGTCGTGTTGAGTCAGGTGCCGCTGCTCGCGACATTGCCCCTATTGTTCTCATGTTGTGCCCGTCATCACCGGAAGCCAGCTTTACTCCGTACTTATTTCTGTAGTCATGTCGCTGCTTGTATTATCAGCAAAGGATGTCGACGCTGTTGTACAGAAACTTACGCCACAAGAACTGATGCTTTTGATGGGCAAAGTGTTCGCTGCTTTGCAGCAGGACGTTCCCGAGGAAGTATCGCCCAAGCCCGTGCAGCTCCCACATCGAATAGCGCTCCACCTACCGTCACATACCACGCTCTTCATGCCTTCCCGCCTTGCTTCTGCTGGCGGCTCAGCGATGAAAGTGGTCAGCGTACCCCTCGAACATAGTCAGCATGGGTTGCCTGCCACAACGATGGTAATGGATGAAGAGAGTGGTCGAGTGAGAGCCGTCGTCAATGCTCGATCTCTGACGGCTGTCCGCACTGCCGCTGGTACGCTCGTTATTACATACCAGACGCTATTAAACATATCTATTCTCTCATCAGGCTCTGGGCTTGCCGTCAGCATAATTGGTCCACGAAATCCGGAGACACTAGTTCTCTTCGGAGCAGGTCTTCAAGTGGGCGCTCGGCCTCACTTTTCACATCTTTCATGCTTATCAACCTTTAGATGCTGTATCACGGTCTCCTTCTCCTGCGAATGTATCCCTCCATCCGCTCGTGCACTGTCGTGAATCGCACTGGCAACGCCCGCCTCGAATCTGTGATGAAAGCCCTGAGCCGAGCTTTCCCCAAGATCCTCCTACGAAGTCTTTCATCCTCTGACAAGGAGAACGAGTCCGCCATACAGGATGCAGTCTCCGCCGCTCACATCATCTGCTCCGCTACGAGCGCCACACGGCCTCTTTATGACTCCGACTGGGTGTCACCGGGGACATGCATAGTGTTGGCGGGCTCGTACAAGCCCTCAATGCATGAGGTCTCCAGCAGGCTCGTGAAGCGCGCGAGCATCGTCGTGGTCGATTCGCGGTCAGCATGCTTAAGAGAGGCCGGAGAACTGATAGCTGCCAACCTCACGTGGGAGGATTTGGTCGAATTAGGTGACTTGCTGGACGTAGATGGACGTCCACTGCCAGGTCTAATCGACACCAAAACGAATTCGTCAGGAGACGTAACGATCTTCAAAAGCGTCGGTATCGGTCTGCAGGACGTGGCCATCGCGAACCTCGTCGTGGAGCAAGCGTTATCTATGGGTCTGGGAACAGAGATTGATTATGATTGATTGATATTTTGGTTCAGGATATGATCTTCTTCTCGTGTAACTCCTGTATCGCTTGCTGGCTATACCCGAGCTCTTGTAATATCTCCTCTGTGTGTTGTGACAAATACGGCGGCGGCCTGCTAATGGGCATCCGCGCGCCATTGTAATGAACTGCTGGGGCAACCAGCTTAATATTACCTGCTCGAGGATGCTGGAGTTGGCTCGCTGTCAGTGCGGTTCAAAGAACGAGATGACAACTTACTTCGACCTCTGCCGTAATCCCCCTCGCAACAGCCTGAGGATGTTCAAAGGTTTGCTGGATGTTATTGATTGGGCCAAACGGCACGCTGAGCACTCATCAGCGACCATATTGCGTTCTCGGGACTAGACGTACCCGAGCCCATCAAACTTAGCAAGCCAGTAGTCTCGAGTCTCTTCCATCAAGCAATCCGCAATCAGCCCACAGAGGACAACTCTATTCTGTACACGAAGCCCGTTGGTGATAAACCGTTCATCTTCTGCCAGTTCGGGGCGTTCAAGAATCTGCTCGGCAAGAATCTTGAACTGTGGGAGTATAAGGTTACAACAGACACATGGGGGAATAAGGAACTGACCTGACGGTCATTACCTGCTCCAACCATAACAAACCCATCTTTGCAAGGGAACACCTGGTATGGAACGATGGAAGGATGCTGTGTACCATGTCTTGATGCCTCTTTGTTTGCAATGAGGTAATTCGATGCTATGTTCGCCAGACCTGCGATCTGTCTTGCGTAAAAGGAAGCACTTGCAGAGGAATAGTGAACTTACTTGCGTATCGAACAGGCTGCAGTCTATCCACACTCCCTTTCCAGTCTGCTGTCGAGATAACAGCGCAGCCAGTATGGCGCCATGAGCGTATAATCCTTTGCATGATGAGTACGTTATAGAGGGGACACAAAAGTGACTAACCAGTGCTGACATCGGTGACAGCTACTCCAACTTTACAGGGCGGACGGTCCCGCTCGCCGGTTCTACAGTGTATCAAGTTAACAATCCCAGCTGAGGAAATCACAACGTTACGCACATATGCATCAGGCCGGCTTCGCCTTCGATCACAACATCGTACCCCGCTGCTTTGCGATATGGGCCCGTCTGACCATAGCCTGTGCGCTTGTAAGTACTTCGCCCACTGAAGTACCTGCATGTGCTACCTGTTATGCTGCAGTAAATCAAGCGGGGATTGATCTTGTGACATTCGTCCCATCCGAGACCCATTTCTACCAGCTTTCCAGTCAGATAGTTTTCCACCAGAATATCAGCATCCTTGATCAATTTCCGGACTATCTCAAGACCCTCCGATTGCTTGAAGTTAATCCCACAGGATCGTTTGTTGCGATTGACACAAAGAAAGTACGCTGACTCCGGCGGTAAGTCGGGTTTGGGCGACCCATCGGGAATCGGCGCAAACGGCGGGCTCCAGGCACGAGTATCATCACCCTTCACAGGCTCTTCGATCTTGATAACATCGGCCCTGTATGGAGTTGTACATGATGATGAGATACCACCTCATAACTGACAACTCATGGGATGCATACCCTAGATCAGCAAGAAGCATGGTAGCTGTCGGGCCTGCAAGAACTCGAGTGAGGTCGACGATTTTGATACCCTTCAACGGTGGGGGTATTCCGGATGAGACCGAATGGAGAGAGGCCGCAGATATAGACGAGTTATAGCGACAGCTAGCATTCCTGACTTTTGCAGCTCGCGCGGTCAGCAGAGAACCACACCACCAGCGAGAAGAAACAGCGCCTCGCAAGAGAATAGCCATATTGGAGTTCACTGCACTGTGCATTGGCACTGAAGTTAAGTCCCTTCAGGAGTCCCCCGGGTCATGCCAATCATGACCTAGGGCAGTGAATTACCTTGTGTGGAGCTGAAAACCGTATCTATTTTATTAACTTATTTACAAGCCCCGAACCGAACTGTCACAGTACCCACATGTAATTCCTTACCAAAAGCAATCAAATGTCATTCTTCGCTGAAAATCATACAAGAGCTGGAATGTGGTGCTTAAAGCACGGATAAAGCAGTGGTATCTAGTCCCCACAACAACAAAAGCCAGGCCAAGCGGGCTCAAAATATCTTACAAGAGACTGAAAATCATGTTAATATGTACACAACACAAATCTACAATTGGGTACTTACTTAATTGGAATCCTCATTGTCAGATCCACTTTCAGCCAAACGATCCGCAAGCTCCTTGTCACTGTTGACATCATCATCATCATCAGGCTGTGCTCAGCTCGCTCCATTGCTTTATTGGATAGAATGCTTCTCACCAAAGGCCAAGGGGCTACAGCTGGGCCCGGGGTTCCTGACCCAGACAGGCGATGTTCATTGTAAGCTTTTTTTGAGACCAAGAATTGCTTGGCATTCCTCATGTATGACTTGACAATGGCCCTGGTGGCCCAATCATTCTCAAACCATGCCAGGTATGGAATCTTGTGTTGAGCCTACTTCAAGGTAAATACATGTTGTCATTTAGCATGGAGGATGGTACTCACTTCCTTGCATATCTTTGCCATGACCTCTGGGTGGAGTTTGGTGATGGTTTTGTCTCCACAGACATTGTACTTGTTGCTGATCTGTCGGACTTGTTGCTGTAGAAGAGCTTGGGTTAGTAGGTAGCTATAATAGCAGGTAAGAGTGGCTTACCCAAATAGAATTGTACTTGCTCTCATTCCCAGAGAGCCCCATCTCTTCCTGCAGGCAATATCCACCTGGCCCCTTATGACCAGGTTGCCCTGAGGGCTTAGCAATGACCTTCAGAGGCGGAGGTGCCTTGTGCTTTGCCAGCTTAGCTATGAGTGCCTTTCGAAGTTTCTCCTTATCTGCTTCAATAACATCAGATATGTATGTACATGTGCAGTGTTCAAGACATACCTTTCATAGACATAATGATTGCCCCAAGCTCTACAATCCTTGCATTTGCCTCAATAAGTTCCCCCTTCTTTGACTTCTTCTTGGAGAGGAACTTCTGCATGTCAAGGCCATTGTCAAGCTGCTTGAGAGGCTGCTTCTTGGTGCGCTTGGGCAGGGGCTCATCTTCTTTGATATCAGATACCAACAGGGCATGCTTCTCAGGCTCTACCAGGGTTTCAACAGGGTCTTCATTGAGGTCATCCTCAGTGGAGAGGGCAAGTGCAACAGAGGTGGCATTGCAAAATGGGGCAGGCAGGTTCTCCTTGTTCCCTTTTCCCTTGGTGCCAACTTTCTTCTTTGACGAAGTGTTTGTTGGGAGCGGAACATCTGTAATCATGGCATTGGACTCATTGCAGTTGCACATACAATGCATAGCAGCCATCCTTGGAGAGGTGTGGAGGGGGTGGGAGCACAGTGGTGGAGAGCAGCTGTTGAAGAAGTTGAGGAAGAGGGAGTCGCTGGGAGGGCTGTCAGTGCTCTCAGGTGAGGGGGCCTGTTTGAGGAAGATGCTGAGGGAAGGGGTGTCAGTGAGGTCTGAGATCCTGGGCATAGGATGGGGAGAAAGGGACGGGAGCTTGTCAGTCCCATTATATACCCCTCAAGCAGAAAGCTGTGATAGCAAAATCAGTCACATACACAGATCATGTTACATGCCAAGAGATGGTTACCACAAGCAAGGGCAAAAATAAACCCAATATGGAAATTCCGAATTGATGAATCACTGATTTTTTTTGGTCCTGGAGAGTGGGGCCTGCCATTTTGTTTACCTCTCACCATGGTAAAGGCAAAGGCAGAGGTCCATCAGAGACATCGACAAGGTCCTTGCTCTCACTGTGGCAAAATGTTGTCCCACACCCAGAGATGGCAGCATTGTCAGTTGGCCGAAGCACTAGCCCTAAAGAAGGTCATCATCACCTGGCAGGAAGAATCAAAGGAAGAGATGACTCGACTGGGGCACAAAATACCACCTGCAAAGGATCTGAAGGATCTGTGGAATGAGCTGTTTGGCAGTGAAAGAGAAGGGGTCCGGTCCCAGATGTCTCTGCCAGCAGAAGAACCCAGATCAGGGCAGGAGGAGCCGGAGCTGGAGCCAGAGCCAGAGCTGCAGCAGCAGCAGGAGGAGGAGGAGGAGGAGAAGGAGAAGGAAGAGGAGGAGGAGGAGGAGGAGGAGGAGGAGGAGGAGGAGGAGGAGGAGGAGGAGGAGGAGGAGGAGGAGGAGGAGGAGGAGGAGGAGGAGGAGGAGGAGGAGGAGGAGGAGGAGGAGGAGGAGGAGGAGGAGGAGGAGGAGGAGGAGGAGGAGGAGGAGGAGGAGGAGGA